CCCCCCCCCCCCCCCCCCCCCCCCCCCCCCGCCTTCTATTCCCAGAGCAATCCGTGAGGTTCTGTTCAGGTGGGATGGTCTGCAGGAGGAGGTGAAGAGGGATGGGAAGCCACTTACCGCTCCAGGACGGGGCTCTGGCACAGGATGGACGTCGGTGTACCACTGCTGTGTCTCCCGGTTGACCTCTTTGTAGAGCCCGCCAAAGGCTTCCTTCACATCGGAGATGGAGAAGGCACACACGGCCGCTGCCCCGGGGCCTTTCCTATCCCTGGCAGAGAGGGGCAGCGTGGGCCGGGGTGCCCAGAGAACCCCCTCCCCACCCTTCGCCTTCGCCTTCGCCTGCGTGCCCCTCTGTGGGGGCTTTGGTGGCAGCCCCCCAAGACTCACCACTGAGAGGTAAAGACCCCGTAGAAGACCGTCTCTGGCCAGCCGTCGCCTGAGCTCAACACAAACATGTCCTGGAGCACGTTGAAGAGGAAGCCGTCCTCCGGGTGGGAACACAGCAGCTGAGCCTTCAGGAAGGTGGTCCACCGTCGCTGGAGCACACGCTCTCCGCCCAGGTCACCCTGGGGGAGGGGGGGGGAAGCCAGGGGGAACAGGAACCGGGGGAAGAGAAGCAGGACACACAGATCACCTCTGAAGGGCCCCTCAGCCACTGAGCTCTGCCTCTCCTGCCCAGGTGAGCCTGTGGGGCCCCTGGGAAACTCTGGCCCCCACGTGCAGGCCAGGGGGATGAGGAGACCATGGCAGCCGCCGGGACCGGCCCACGCCGAGGGCCAGGGCCACCCAGCCCAGACACCGGATCCTGAGGAAGCTTGGCGGAGGAAGGCAGGAGGGAGGTTGGGGCCTAGAGCCCCCTGCAGGCATCCATCACCCTGGGAGGGGATCGGAAGCGTCTCCGCATGGTCCTGGGATCACTCAGCAGACCGAGGGCTCCCCTCCTCTACCTGGTCCCGTCAGGAGAGGAAGGTGAACTGGGCACCACGCAGACCCTCCCAGCAGGTCCCCTTGGGGGTCTCTCTGCTCCTCCTCCAGGGCTGCACCCCCTGCCAACCTGAAGGTCCATCTGCTGACCACCCACTGACCTGGACAGAAATGCCCATTCTGGGGGAGCCCCGGAGCTGGCAACCTCCCCCAATTGGGCTCCCAAAGGACTCGGTCCTTCGGCTTCCCCCAGGCGGCCTTTGGGAAAGCAAGGGGGTCTCCAGGCTGCCTTGCGGCACTGAGCGGGTTGCCAGCTGGCCCAGGACGCCACAGCCCCCCCCCCGGCACTGCGGAGGGCAAAAGGGGACAAGTGGCACAAGCGGATTCTGGCTCCCCCCACCCACCCACACGCCCCTCACCTTGCACACACGTGCAATGCGGGACACCACCGTGTCTTCAAAGAAGTCAAACTCCTTGCCGGTTTCACTGAAGAAGAAGTAGATCTTGCCATCGTCTTCCTCCTCCGGGCTGCTGCTCTCCTGCAGGAAGGCTGAGCCCACAAAGAACGGCTCTGCCCAAGAGGAGGAGGAGGAGGACGGGTTGGACTCGCCCCTCTTTTTCTGCCCTTCCCTCAAGGGCCCCAGACGAAGCTGCTACTCCTGCTGCCCCAGAGGGCTTCAGCCAGCCGGTGCTGGGGGGCCCCTTCCGAGCAGTGCCAATGCCAGTCTCTGGGCCCGTACTCCGTTGGCAGAAGTCGGTGGAGTGGCGGACCCTCCCCCTCCCCCTCCCCTCCCCTCTTATTCCTTTGGGAAGGACCTTCCCCAGAGAGAACTCAGCTGCCTGAATGCTCCGTTTGGCCAAGTGGGACTAGACACACAAGGAATTTGTCTCTGGCGCTCCGGTGTACATGCAAAACAACAGAATAATGATAATCGTATCAATAAGAAGGGGGATCAAAGGTCATAAATGCTACTACTACTACTACAGCCATCCTACCCGGGTAGGTAAATACACCCAGGCATTAGACAGAAGGAGGGGTTCAGCACGAGGGGGGAAAAAGCTGCCTCTGTGAGCCTGGTTGTTTGGGCCGGCAACCGCAGCGTCCCGAGGGGAGGAGTTGAAGGAGTTGAAGTCCAGGATGGGGGTGGGGGGGGGGGGGCGCTAGACGTTTCCTCCGCCTCTTCCTGGCTTACGGGGTGCACAGGTCCTCCATGGAAGGCAGGCTGGTTGCCATTATTCTTTCTCCATTGGGCTTTGTCCCTGACCTGCTTGGTTGCTGTACCCAAACCCGTCAGTTACAGAAGCCCGGATGGCAGAAACTCTTCTCAGCAGCTCTTTGGGCAGCTTCCTGGGCCGATGCAGGAAGGACATTCTTTCTTCTGCCCTTTTTATGATGGTTCTAATGTTAGGCGTCCATTTCAAATCCTGAGAGATTCTAGAGGCCAAAACTGTGAAGGATTCTACTGCCGATCCTACGCTGTTGAACACAGGAACAGGGGGCAAAACAGGTAGAGGCTCCCCCTAAAATCCTCTCTCATCTCGACAGTTTGAAGCCTGTTCAGCTCCAGAGGGCCAGTTGCTCAACCTTCCCTCTCTAGGCAGACTCAGCACCATCTCAAGTGAGACCAAGGACTGTTGTGTCACCTGCCAACTTCACTCCTTTGACAGAGAGGTCCCTAGAGATGCCGTCATCGACCCAGAGAGGGAATAGTGGAGAGAGCGCAAGCCGGTGGTCTGGGTGCTTGATGTGGTTTTCCCTATAGCTCCACCTGTTGCTTCCTATCTCTCAAAAGGCAGACAGTCCACCTGGAAATACGAACAGGCACAGCGAGCGGAATCAGTTTAGAGCGAAGCATGTCTGAAAGAAGGACGGTGGCCCTGAATGGCTAAGATCTGAGCCTGGTCCCTGGGGATCCAAGACGTTGCAGGCTTCTTGGAAATGTCTCAACTGAAGAACTTCCAGCAGGTTTGTTCCTAATATGCACAAGCAGGTTCTGCAAAGTGGCACCTTTGGCATTAGCTACCTGGCCAAAACAACCCATGAACATATGTGGGAAGGTGAGACCCACATCGCCCCAGGTGAATTCAAAACTGCTATAATTATATGTTTTAATCTGGCTTCTTTTTAATTTCATGTTTATACTTCATGTTTTAGGTACAATTTCCTGACAGGGTACTAAGGGCAGCTTAACAAATAGATGAAGCAATATAACAATGTTGTAAACATATGACTACAATCAAATGAAGGGCAATCAGCAGTAACATGAATCCAGCACTTGCCCAAGAAACCTTCGTGGACTGCCCAGGTTGGCCTGGGACTCCAACTAGTGAACAGTCCTAGGTTGCCCTGGTGGTGACTGGTCCACACCTGGCCAAGGCACCTGGCCAAGAGCTGCAGAGACCCCAGCATCCAACACCAGAGCCCAAAGTTACTGAAAGGCAAGGACCCCCAAGTCCACCCAAAGAGCCCTCGGCTCCGCTCCGTGCTTGTCCAACCCTGAGTGGCAGGGCTGCTATCTGTCATCAAATGTGAATTCCTCCCCCCTCCCCCGCCAGGTGCCACCATCATCGCCCTCCTCCTCCTCCTCCTCCTCCTCCTCCTCCCGTCCACTCATCACATACCCTGCAACCAGTTGAGGGAACTTTCTGTCTTGATGGGCGGGCGGCTGCCAAGGCTGCGGAAGATGGTGGGCTCGTTGCCCTGAAACTTGCTTACGGTGCCCGTATACAGTTCGCCATCTGAGAGAAAGCAGCCGCTTTAGGGCCAAGGGAAGCTTTCTGCCTGCTCCACCTAGACCTCCCCCCCCTGCACAATATTGTCCGTGGCCCGTGAGCCCAGGGGGGATCCTCCTTCCTTGCAGCCCCTCTCCTTCCACCCAAAGGTGCCCAGGGTGGGCTCTTTGAGACCCCCAAAGCTTCTTACCAACCATGATGGCTGTAGATCTGTACTCCGGGTCGAAGGGGCAGCGTCCCTTCCCATCCTCCAGCAAGAGCTGCCCCGAAGGGTCTCGCTGCAGCTGGAAGCCCGGCAGGCTCTGCAAGGGAGAGGGCAATGACTGGTGAGCCCCCCCCCCATAGGAAAGGGCAGAACCACCAGCCCCCACCAGCCGGAGCCGGTCAACTCTGCACAGCCCCCTTTTCAATCCGTCCTCTCTCCTGCAAGGCCCAGCACTGCAAACGGGTCTTCCAGGCAGTTTCTGTTTTGGGGAGGGCCCTGGATGCGAATTCTAGCAGGGAGCCCACATGAGGAGGTTGCAGAGCCAGGCAGACCCGGCAGTTGTGCCCGCCCACCCCACAGCGGGGGGGGGGGGGGGGGGGCGCTGTCCAGAAGGCGGCTTCAGGCTGGGTCTTCCCCCCATTTTGCAAGAAGGGGGCTCGATCCGGCACAAGGCTGTTGTCAGGCACAGAAACTCACACCGGTTCTGCCTGTCACACAGGAATCTCCCCAGCCTGGCAGCCTCTCAAGGGAACAGCTGAGATGAGGCTCCAAGCAATTCAGGGTTCAGAGTTGCTTTGGGTCCTTTGGCAGTTGCACGCCGTGACTCCAGACTAGGCCTGTACTTGATCCCCCTTCCCTGCCAGGCTGGGGGGTTCCCAACAGCTGTGCAAACCTTCACCAGGGGCTCCCTTCAGCCTGGGGCTAAAACAGGCCTCATTCTGAAGATGATTATCATAAGCTAAAGACATGCAACATCTGGAGGGGGCAGTCAGAACTCTGAGTTTGTTCATGCATGATAGGCCGGACAAGCGTAGTAAGGAAGCTGCCCTGGTCTGAATCAAGTTAGCCTCATTATTCTGCTCCACAAAACATTCAACCAGCGGTGGCCTCAGGCTATGCCTTGCTAAGCCACAGGAGAAGAACCAGGAGGGCTGGGTGGAGGGAGGGGAGGTTGGGATGTTCCTCACAATGTAGGTGCAGGTGGGGCTGAAGGCGCTGGTCCCGCAGGTGTACAGGTGGGTCTCGTTCAGCTGCAGCAGGACCTTGATGTAGTTGTGGCAGTCGCTCTGCAGAGGGAGGGAAGACGGCGGCACTCAGGACCAGCCGGCCGCAGGCAGCTCCTGCTTGGTTTGGGCTGCCCCGGGAGGGGGAGGCAACGCTCCGGTGGGCCCCGGACTCCCAGCGGAACTGAGCCCTGCCCTTCTCGCCAGAGTTGATCCCCCCAACTGGCATGACCCACCTGAGGGTCCTTGCCCTTGAAGATGCACTGCTGCTTCTTTTCGTCCTCGGCGTGCCAGGTGAGCTGCAGGAAGGAAAGCAGGCTGCCGTCACTCACCTGGCCTCTCCAGGAGGGCCGCTGCTCTCCGGTCCTTTTCCTGCAGCACTTCTGGCTGCTTCCTTGAGCTACCGGCTCACCGGTGCTCCCTTCAAACCTCACCAAGCAACGCCAGTCGCGGGCAAATTGGCATGCTCAATTCCAGGCCCAGACATGAAGAAGGAAGCAGCCCTGAGGCCAGCCACCAACCCAATCTTTCCTTGTTTATTCAGGCTGGAGGTGAAAGCACAACCAGACCCTTCCCGTCACCTCAGCTTTTCAAATACGGTGGCCGCGTAAGGAGATGGCAGACAAGGGAAGCCACCCAGCTGAAGGCTGGGACGGAAGAGCGTTCTCACCTCGACCAGTGCGGCATGGCTGCTCCTTCCAGCGTGAGGATCCAAGCTTGGCTGACTGCCTTAGAGGCTGCTGGTTAGGAACATCACCCAGGACCCTTTCTGGCTACCCCTCTGAAGCAGGGAAGGAGACCCAGAGACCAGGGCACCTGGACTGACCTGCTGGTGCTGGGGCCCGGGAGAGAAGGCCCTGGTGTTCAGAGCAAGAAGCATCTCGCGGGCACCAACGTACAAGATCCGGCCATCTGGGCTCAGCATCATTGTGGTGTAGTTGGCGACTCCAGGCACCTGAAAGTTGTTCCACAGCCGCCTCCGGGGAGAATCTAGGGTTGCAAAAATGGGAGGCAGGAGGAGAGATGACCGTGAGTGGATGCTGTGCCCCAGGCAGCCTCCTGGGCATCTAGCCTGCCACCAGTGACAGAGGCTACAGGACCACGTGCCTGTTTCCAACTGACAGCGGGTAGCATTGTTTCCACTGCAATTTACGTCTATTTGACATTCAAGAAGCTACTGCGCAAATCGAGCATCACATTCAGAGGTGAGCAAGCTCTGTGCCACATGCTGCCCTCCCCATAAACCTCAGCATCGCTCACTTTTGTTATGTCCCAAGTTTTTTCTCCCCAAATTAGAGGCCTCTTGCCTTGCCGATGTCTGTATGCCTCCCAACGGGTGGACTATCAGCAACAAGAGTTGACATGTCACATGGTCTCCGCAGCAAATGCCCTGGTTTGCCCCCGAGCATGCTTGGGGCACAACTGGCTATGCCTGTGGCCTCTTGACCAGGCTGTGCCAAGGCTTGCCCAGCCTCTCCTCACTGTCAGCAGGCAAAGCTGCTGCCTGTGGCACATGCAGCGGAGGCTACCAATGGATCCGGGCCTTCTCTGCCTTCCCCCGAAGGGTTTCATGGAAGCCTTGCCAGCGCCAAGGCAGGATGGGTCAGACTCTTTGGGTGCCTCTGTTGGCAGCCACAGCAAAGGAAAGATGCCATTGGGAATATAAGGAGAGCTCAACGATAGCAACACATATGCCAAAGGGTGAAAGAAGTGCATTAATGTCATTTAAAAAAATATATTGCATGGCTGTGACATTAAGAGACAGGAGAATTGAATGTGAATTGAAATTCTCTGATCAAATACTTGGCTTAAATGTGTCAATTACATGTATGTGCGGCAAAGAATGGAATGCAAGTCTAAAAGCACAATTGATTTGATAGTTCGTGATGAAAATTTGAGAGAATGAGCGATGGACACAAGGGTGATGAGAAAGCATAAGTCACGCATGAAAATAATTAGAAGTTAATCTTCCAAAGGAACGAAAGGAAGAGGGTGGGAAGCTGCTTGGACCGTAGGAAAAAAAAATCGAAGAACTACAGCCATATTATCACAGCAACTTAATTTCATGATACCTTACAGTCTCTAGCATTTCATAATTCCACAAAACTCACTTTTGAGTTACTTGGACTTCAGTAAAGCATTTCACAAGGTAGACCACAGTCTATTGCTACTATAAGATAGAACAATGTGTGTTATACAGCATCACCACCAGATGGATTTGCAACTGGCTGACCAAGTGCATTCAATGGACCTGCATCTTCATGGAGAGAAGCATGCATTGGGGTGCCTCAAGGTTCTGTCTTAGGCCCAGTACTTTTCAACATTGTCATAAAAGATCTAGATGAGGGAATAGAATAGGAACGCATCACATTTGCAGATGACACCAACCTGGGGTGAATTGTTAAGACTTTGGATGATAGACTCAAGATTCAAGACTCTGATGGACTTGAGCATTGAGCTCTATCCAACAAGATGCACTTCAGGGGTGAGAAACATTCCTGCACTTAGGCAGGAAATACCAGATGCACAGGCATGGGATAGGCACTCCCTGGTTCAACTAAGTGTCCCCATGTGCTACTGCTAAAGTATGAGCCAGCGGTGTGCTGCAGCTGCCAAAAAAGCCAATGCAGTCCTAGGATAGTGTCAAGGTCATGGGAAGTGACAGTATGGCTGTAGACTTGCACTAATAAGGCCACACTTGGAATATTGCATCTGGTTGTGGTCACCACTATACAAAAGACGCCGCGGCCCTAGAAAGAGTGCAGAGAAGAGCAACAAAGAAGACGAGAGGTCTGGAGGCTAAAATCTAGGATTAAAGGGACGAGGTATTTTTAAGCTTCATGAAGAGAAGCCTGAGAAGAGACATGATTCCCATCTTCCAATACTTGAAGGGCTGCCACAGCTCGCCTCCCAGAGTGGTGGGTACCTCATTACTGGATATTTTTTAAAAATGGGCAACCATTTGTTCAAGATGGGATGAAGACTCCCGCCTTGGAAGATTTCCGAGGTTCCTGCCAGCCCTAATATTCTATGAAGTTGTGCCTGGGAAACCATTTGACAGAACTATAATCTTAGGCCATGAGAGGTGACAATAAGCAGAATTTAAGAGATGCTTTGTACATTTGCTGATTTATAGACAGTGAATAAACTAGAAGGAGAGAGTGTTTTGCATGATTATGAACTTGGTGGGTGGTGCTGGACGCAGTAAGAAGAGCAGGATATGATGGAAGTAGAACACCAGTGAGAATGGGATGCTTCAACATTGAGAAGGCTCCAAGACAAGGAGGCACGACGTCCCTGTAGTTTTTTACTGGTGGATCAAGTACAAGGAATCCTTATGGTGACCACAGAGATGTATTGGCTGTTACTTTCACATGCAAAGGAGGCCGTGTTGTTGGCTAAGAAACCAAATGAGCTGCAGCAAATATTACTCGATAATATCAAGCGAGAAGGAAGATGAATAATAGTGCATCTTTGTGGTTGAGAGCTGACACCGCCATGAGGGCACACATCAATCAATCCAACAGAAAACCAATTGGCTCCTGGAGAAACAGCCACTCTGCCTTGCTGGGGTTTTTCTTTCACCCCGTTTCGTCCTATCCAATCCTCTCAGCCACCGGATGCCAGGTTAGGCCGCCTACAGCTCCTGCCTGGCCCACAGTAGAAGCGCATTATTGGACGTTATCTGCACATTCGTGATACCCCCACCCCCACCCCGAACCAAGGATGGCCTCTCCCAACAGCTCCATAGATGCCACGAGAGAGACCACTGAGCCCAGTGGCCTCCTCCCACATCAGCCTGGCCACAGACAAACACTCCTTTCCACCACAGTCATATCAACTGGAACCCAGAAGCATTGCCAGAGTCCCCAAACCTTTTGGTCAATGGCTGCTGAGAGACCTAAAAGGAACGAGACGGCTGCCCTTTCTCCATTCAGGATCTCTTGGAGATAATCCACAAGCGCAAATAGCTACTGCTGTTCATATCTAAGCCTGGATTCTGACTGCATTGGATCTAGATAGCCCATTTCCCCCCTTAATCCTTGACAAAAACTATCATCAAAAAGGGAAGACTGGGGACAGGGTGAAAGTTTCTTAGTTACTTATTTTACCAAACTTCTAGACTGCTCCAATCACGAACGCCTCTAACTCCGGTTAGAAACAACAGAATACAAAGCAAACAAAAAACAAATCCATAAAACACACAGCTAAGATGCAGGAATAAAACCTAATCAACCCATGCACGTTTTAAAAGAAAGCCTGTTTAAATAGCCAGCCTTTGTAGACTTCCCGACCCCCAAAGGGGAGAGGTCAAGGTCTGCACAGGTGCCAACCCAAAGGAGGAGAGAGCCAGAGGAGACAACTCACATTTCACAAATGGCAACACCTGTGTGAAAGAATGCAGAGATCACCCACCCTACTTGACGGCGTCAGTTAAGCAGAAGGTGGTCCACAAATACTGAGGCCCTGACCCTTTAAACAGCGAGGAGTGTAGTGGCTCATGTGGTTACAACGCTGGGGTGAAAATCTGCAAGCCGGTGTTTGAAACCCGGGTGCTACTGTGTGATGGGATGAGCTCCCGACCTTCACTCCAGCTCCTGCCCATCTTGCACTTTGAAGGTGTGCAAAGCAGGCAGGCAATGGTAATTATAGGTGGATAGATACCGCTTCAATGGGCACAATTAACGCAGGCACTAAATGAGCCTCCAACCGGGCATCCCCTGGGCAACAGTGATGTCAACCAGCAAATCCTTTCGACCCAGAAGTGCCTCGGTGCTTGAAATAGCAGCAACAAGCAACACTCTGAAACGCACCCAGGAGTGCCTGCTAACCAGCAATGTGAGGTGGGTGCAACAAGCAGCACCAGGAGACTAGCTGCATTTTGCACTAGTCTGTAGCTTCTGAATGACCTTCAAGGGCAGCCTTCCACGTTTAGCACATTGCAACAGCTCAGCTGAAGAAGTCAAGGACACACAAGCCATGATGAGCATTCTGCTGTCGTCCATCTACCTGGTTCCAGGAGGAAGTTATCAGATACACCACCAGATGTTGGGTCAAGTCCCTCAGGGGCACAGCTGCTACATCAGCCGGAGCTGCAAGCCTGAGATCCCATTTATGAACCCGTTTGATAAGGGGCAGAATGTGGTTTCGTAAACTTTTTCCTCTCAGGACCCCCTCTCACTTTTAAAAATGATGGAGGACACCCCCCCCCCCTCAACAGCTTTGGTTTGGATGATGTTCGTACCTGGTGAGACCAAGAAAAAGGTGGTGGCTCCTTCCCTAGGGAAGACCACCCCCCCCCCCAGAGGCAAGATTGGCCCCCCTCTTGCTACTTTTCCAAAAGGCCCCAAAGACACAGGGAACCCCAGGCTGACATGGAGCCAGGCAGGGGGCTAGTCAGGTTGGGTTTATTGCTGCCAGGCAGCGGGGATGCTGGTGTTTTGTGTGTTCCACCTTTTTATGGGGTTTTTATGCCGGAAGCTGCCCAGAATCACCGTGTGTGTGTTGGACGGCCCATCCCGCTGGGACTGAGTCCCAACCTGTCTCAACCGAGTTTCTCCGTTTGAAGGAGAAGCAGCAAAACGTTTCAAGCAAACAAAAAAGAAAACAAATGTGACTCAGCTTCCAGACGGCGGAGAACCTTCCTCGCCCTGGCGCTTCGTCTTCCTCAGGGAAACAAGGAGCCCCCCGATGGGCACTTCAGGGGTCCCTTGGCCTACGGCACCGATGGCCTTCCCAATCCCAGCCTTGTCCATTTCATCAGGGCCCATGAGCTAAAGGAGTCCCACCACGTCTCCTCGCAAAGCGAATTGATTTTGTTCCGCTAAATTGGAGTCAAGATCTGAGCAAACATGAGCAATGTCACCGTCACACCCTTCCTTCTTCCAGGCTGAAACCGAGTGGCTGTGTAACAGCCTGAGATGCTGTGAGGGTGGTGCAGCCTTCCAGCCCTTCCCTCCACTGGGGAAGCCCAAAGGTGCGGCTGCACC